GAAAAGTACTTGCCTCGCTCTTATAGAGGAAATCTTTTGGACCAGTGGAATAACTTGAGGCAAGGAGGCAAGTCTGCTAATGAATATGTGGCACAATTTGATGAGTATAGGATGAGGTGTGCAGTTAGGGAGGATGAAGTGATGACCCTAAGTAGATTTCGAAAAGGCTTAAACGATGACCTTAGAAGAGAGGTTGTGCTTAGGGGTGTTTCCACCCTTGATGAAGCTTATACCCTAGTATAAAATTATGACTTGGTCACAAAAAGCCAGTGGATAAGACATCAGGACACTCGTAATACCCCTTTTAGATCTCAACCTGGTAGTAATAACTCCATATTAGGTGCCCCACCTCGTAAACCCAATCCTTTAATTTCCCAGATACCTAGAGAAGACAAGGGTAAGGGTATTTTTCATGAAGCACCTAAAACTTCAAGAATTCAGTGTTTTAAGTGTCAGGGTTTTGGTCATATCTCCTCTAGCTGCCTAATAAGGCTTTGTTCATCAAGAGGCAAAAGGGTATGGATGAAGAAGATAATTGTGATGATAAGGTATATGAACCCAATCCCGATGATTTTCAAGATCTAAATGATGAGGATGATGAGTCTAACTTGCTAGGATGTGTTAGGTCTATATCTACTCAAATCAAGACTACTAGGTTAGGTGTGGTTAGATGTATTTTAACACAACCTAAAGGAACTGAGGATTGGAGAAGGACTACTATTTTTTACACTTGCATTAAATGTGGAGATAAAGGGTGTAAGATCATCATAGACAGTGGTAGTTGTATCAATGCAGTTTCCTCGGGTAGTGTATCCCGCTTAGGCTTAAAGTCTGTTCCACATCCTAAACCCTATAATGTATCTTGGGTTAATGATACATCTATAGCGGTCAAAGAGAGATGTCTTTTTCCCATTAAGATTTTTGACTATCATGATGAAATTTGGTGTGATGTCATTCCCATGGATGTAGGACACGTCATTTTAGGAAGGCCTTGGTTATATGATTTGGACGTTACAATCTTTGGATGATCAAATTCTTGTTCATTCACTTTTCAAGGTAAAAAAATCCAACTTATTGGCTTACCCCCAAGGGCTAATGATAATGGTCAGAAGAAGAATAAAGTGAAAGATGGAGGGCTTAACATAACAAGTCCTAAGGAGTTTGATAAGGAGATTTGTAAGGAGTCTGTTGTGTTTGCTGTAGTGGCTAAGGAAATTGTAGAAGACTTTTTAGAGAAGCCACCTGAAGAGGTAAGAGAAGTGTTGAGAGAATTTCTAGATGTTTTCCCTTCTGAACTACCTGATGCTTTACCCCCTATGCGTGATGTTCAACACGCCATAGATTTTGTCCCTGGAGCTACATTACCAAACTTGCCTCATTATAGGATGAACCCAAGTGAACATGCTGAATTGCAAAGGCAAGTATGTGAGTTGTTACAAAAGGGATTTATACGAGAGAGTTTGAGCCCTTGTGTAGTACCTGCACTGTTAACACCCAAGAAAGATGGATCATGGAGAATGTGTGTCGACAGTCGAGCCATTAATAGAATTACAATCAAGTATCGTTTTCCAATTCCTTGATTGGACGATATGCTAGATATGATGGCAGGAGCCCAAATCTTCTCTAAGATTGACTTGAAGAGTGGATATCATCATATTAGGATCCGTCCGGGAGATGAGTGGAAGACAACATTTAAGATTAAGGATGGTTTATATGAATGGCTAATCATGCCTTTTGGCCTTTCCAATGCACCAAGCACTTTTATGAGAGTAATGACACAAGTACTTCGGCCATTTATGGGAAAGTTCTTGGTGGTATACTTTGATGATATTCTCATTTATAGCAAAACCAAGAAAGAGCATTTCGATCATCTTATTCAAGTTTGTACCACCCTAAGAAAGGCAAGTTTGTTTACAAATGTCAAAAAATGTTCCTTCTTTACAGATCAAGTGGTCTTTTTAGGGTTTATAATGTCATGGAGAGGAGTCTCTGCTGACCCCCAGAAAGTCCAAGCGATAGTAGATTGGCCTGAACCTAAGACTATTCATGAGGTTCGTAGTTTTCATGGGCTTGCGACTTTCTATCGTCATTTTATTAAGGGACTTAGCACCATCATGTCGCCTATTACAGATTGTTTGAAACAAAGTGAATTTAGGTGGAGTAAAGGAGCTAATATGGCATTTGAGGAGGTTAAAAAGAAAATGACAGAGGCCCCAGTAATGCGGCTACCTGATTTTACTAAAGTGTTTGAAGTAGAATGTGATGCTTCGGGGGTCAGTATAGGTGGAGTACTTAGTCAGGAACGTCACCCTGTAGCCTACTTTAGTGAGAAACTTAATGAGGCAAAACAAAAGTACTCAACTTATGATAAGGAGTTTTATGCGGTGGTTCAGGCCTTGCGTTATTGGCGTCATTACTTGTTACCACAGGAGTTTGTTCTTTACTCTGACCATGAAGCCCTCCGCTATCTTAACTCTCAAAAGAAGCTTAATCATAGGCATGGTCATTGGGTTGAATATTTGCAAGCATACTCATTTGTTTTGAAACATAAATCTGGAATAGAGAATAAAATTGCAGATGCTTTGAGTCGTCGGGTAACGCTATTATCTGTAATGAGTGTTGAAGTCACAGGATTTGAGAGACTTAAAGAGGAGTATGAATCTTGCTCAAAATTTGGAGAAATATACTTGACATTGAAAGATGAGAATCACCGTGTTATAAATGGTTATCACCTCCAAGATGGATACTTATTTCGGGATAATAAGCTTTGTATCCCAAAAACATCCGTGCGTGATTTTTTGATATGGGAGATTCATGCTGGAGGTCTCTCAGGACATTTTGGAAGGAATAAAACCATCGAAGAAGTGGAACGCTAGTTTTTTTGGTCTAGTTTGCAAAGAGATGTCGCTAAATTGGTAGGTCAATGTCGAACTTGCCAACTAGCTAAGCATAGAAAACAAAATACTGGTCTTTACACCCCATTGCCCGTTCCTACTTGCCCTTGGCAAGATGTGAGCATGGATTTTGTGCTTGGGCTTCCACGTACTGCGAAGAAACATGATTCTATTTTTGTGGTTGTCAACCGCTTCTCTAAGATGGCCCATTTTATTCCTTGTACTAAGACCACAGATGCTTCCAAAGTTGCAAAACTCTATTTTGATGAGATTGTTAAGTTGTATGGTCTTCCCCAAACCATAGTTTCGGATAGGGATGTTAGATTCACAAGTTATTTCTGGAAAAACCCTTTGGTATATGGTGGGAACCAAATTGAAGTTTTCTACTGCCTACCAGCCCCAAACTGATGGTCAAACTGAGGTGGTTAACAGGAGTTTGGGCAATCTTTTGAGGTGTCTAGTGAGTGATCATAATCGGAATTGGGATTTGATTCTTCCTACGGCCCAATTTGCCTATAATAGCTCTATCAATAGGTCAATAGGCATGAGTCCCTTCGAAGTTGTACATGGTTACAAGCCTAGGAAACCTTTAGACCTTCTTCCCATGTCCCTTCATGCTAGAGTGTCTGAGTCAGCCGAGTCTTTTGCACTTAGAATTCAGGATTTGCATATTGAGATCACTAAACAGATTCAAGCAAGTAATGTGCAATATAAACTTCAAGCTGATTTACATAGACGACATAATGAGTTTAATGTGGGAGACTATGTTATGATACGGATTAGACCCGAGCGGTTTCCTTCGAGAGCTAATCGAAAATTACATGCACGTAGTGCCGGACCTTTCAAAGTGCTACAACGGGTTGGTCCAAATGCTTATGTTCTTGATTTACCACATGATTTTGGCATTAGCTCTACATTTAATATTGAGGATCTAGTTGCATACCACAAACCACTCCCTATTCCAGATGATCCATTTGAGATACCACTTAACTCCACTTCTGATGATCCTATTGAAACCTCTATCCCTTTCACCTTGACATCAGCACAAAAAGATAATATTGATGCTATTCTGGATGAACAAGTTGTTTTTAACAGGAATGGTGAGGTTCAACGATTTCTAGTTCGTTGGGTGGGTCGATCTGACTCAGATTGCACTTGGATTACTAGAGATACCTTGCAGCAGCTTGATCCAGATCTTTGGGAATACTATCAGAGTTGGCCAGTACTACACTCGACAGGGTCGAGTTTCTCTAACCCCGGGAGAGTTGGTGGGGACACCAGACCCACACCATAGACTATACGAGTATATGGACGGAGACGGCGTAGGATAGCCCAGCCTGTCACGCTTTGGTTGGGAGACTAAGCCCATTTGGGCCCATTGCATTGTTATTTTATTTATTTAGCCTATTTGGGTCTGCTCATTGTTATTTTATTATTTATGTTAAACAGTTTGATTTGATGGGCCAAGCCCAATAGCGAGATGTTTTAGAGTTTACTATTTATATGTTCTTCTGTCATTTTGAGAGGGAGTTTTGATGATTAATGAAAATTTGCAGACTTTGTATATCTTCAATTCTCTTTCTTCTTTTCTTCAGCTTCTTTCTATTCTTGAGTTAATTCTATTGTTTATTGTTCCGCATCAACGAAGCACTTCTCACCTCATCCTAAGAGCGATCCTTCTTCCTGAACAACCAAGGGCTAAAGAATGAAGAAAATGTTATGAGAAGTCTCCTCCCATTTGCCTTTCTACCCAAGAGCTAGTCCAAAGAAAATTCCAATATCAATTAATCGAAATATATACTTGCAACAAGCTTCACCCGAAAACAAGTGTTACTACAATTCATTCTGTGTCACACCTGAGTATTCTAACCAGGACCTAGAATGACTAATCTCTCGTCATCTGTTATGATTTTCCCAAAGAAAATAAGATAACTTAATTTGAAGTTCGAAAACATAAAGAAGAAACAATGAACAATTAAAATTAATGGCTATCATTGACAAGACTTGTTAAAGTGACTGCATCACAGTATTAAACATGCAGTGCAGTGCAGTATAGCATGTTATCCCAGTGTAAAGTGCGACCACTAGCTAAGAGCAGGATTTGCGCAATTTAGATTCGAACTTATTGATAATCTGTACAAACAGATACATCATGGAATCATGCGCTGCCATGCAACATACAGCAGCATTGATTCACAAGAAAAATTACAATCAGTGGGATTGGTCTGAATTTTTATTATGATTTTTCATCCTTCTTTTGGAGGATGTCTTATCCTCTCTGTCGTGTCTTCTAATCCTTTTCTGTTCAATAAAATTTACCCTTTTACACAGAAGGAAACAATTCCATAAAGTATTAAAGATAAACTACCATAAGCTTTCTTTTGGAGGATGGTCTTATCTTTAGGCTTTGCTCTTCGTGGTCTTGACCGCCTCAGCTCCTGCCACCTCTCCACCTTAAGCACTCCTAAAACTGCTGATTCACAAGTCTCAAAATTCCCAACGATCCTTTTCTCTGACTTCAAGCTCACCTAGCCTCAAGTTGGTTTGATACAGAAAGGCCAGCCATTGCCTACAAGTAAACATCAAACGCAATTCATCCAAACTAGATCAAACCCACATGTAGAAAAACACATGCTTTACAGAATTCACATGTTGTAATGCTAACACTTGTATTAAATTCGTTTTCCACATGTACATAAATATACTGTTAAAAAAATTTCTTTACACTCTTTTATGTTATACTGTTAAAAAAATTTCTTTACACTCTAGCATTCCCTATTTTAAGTTGCAGTAATTTAAGTCAATTTGGGAAAGAACTGAACTTGTAAATAGAGGAAAGTGTAAGGGAAAGAAACCTTTGACATCTACTACTCGGTTAACAACGTTTGTAAAGACTTTCCTATATTCTATACCTTCTCTCTAAGAAAAAAATATTTAATTCCCATTATCATGCTTACAAATTCAGATAAGAGGAGAATATTACCAAACATTCCCTTTCCTTCACTTCCATCTTTTTATAATTTCTATTCCTTACCCTTTCTTCCAAATTTCCCAAAACACATTTAGAAATCAAACCAAAGTATGCATAAGCACACATACACATGGATGCACACTAAAACTCGAAGAACCGAAATGGGTACCCAATCTTGACGGACAGCCTTGACAGGCTCACCATGGAGGCAAAAGGGGCCAATGCAGTTCAGAATGAGCTTGATCTGGGTGCAGAAATGGTGGAGTCAAGGTGGGTTAGTGGCGTCATCAGTGGTGCCTGCGTAGGCTAAGGCCAAAGTTCTGAGAGGACGAGATTGAGAACGATTGGCTTGCATGTATATGGGCCTGTTGTGGTGTGCATACATAGGAATGCCAGGTTTTATAAGTTTTGTAAGTGAATGAGATTGGTTTGATCGGAACTGAAGGAGCAGGGTTTGGGGTTGCATGATGCTAGCTAAAGATTTTTAATGTTGAGTAAGTTTCTGCAATTTGGTTTACAAATTTGAAGGGCTGATTTACACAATTCGTAAAGAAGAGAGAATTCATTTGATTGTTCAACTAATTACAACGTGAATGAGATTATATTCAAATACCATATCTAAACAACCACCTCTCTTCTAATAATATCACCAAACCCTCTCGCAGTGCTTCTAAACGCGGTTGTCTGAGAAGTAAGTTCAGTGGAGTCAACTACTCAGAATCCAGCTTATCTTCCTGCATATTGGAAGCAACCATAAAAGCCTCGTAAGTACACCGATCGTCAATATGCTTCCACACGGACATGTCCAGAAGAAAATATCTGTTAGTAATTTCAGCAAACAATTAACATGCATGCGTAATATCGCCATGTTTTACATACCGCAACCCAAAATCTATCATGAAAACATATCTAATCGATTGCTCTTCCAAAGCTAAACAGCCTGACTCAGTACAAGTCTTCAAACACGACATATTTACTCAACTTTACAAAGCAAGTAAGAATGATGGAACCCAGTAAAAGAAATTGTTTTGGGAGTTGGGTAAATAAATTAATGTTTAAGCAAGCAAAATTAGTGAGAGAAACTGATTCTTGACTTGATGTAAGCAAAACCCAGATGGAGAAAAAAAGAACTTCAGAATTAAACCTCGCCTTCAAAGCTGAAATCGTAGTTGTTCGGAGGCCCAACAACTAACTTTTAAATTTACCGCCAAAGGGGTCCCCGTATTTCTCGTTTGTCTGTCAGTTGGAGATGCAAAAACGACGGCGCTTGAGGGGTGCGGAGCATGTTTCAAAACATTGTAAATGGAAAAGGGTAAAACTAGAGGGTTTTTTTTTTTTTTTTTTTTCAAGAGTGCTTGTTTTTGTTTTTACTTTCTTAGAGTGAATTAAAGCTAATTTCTAATTATTAATTAAGAATAAAAATATAATTAACTCCGAAAGTAAGCATGGTTTACGTTGTCAACTGTTGAGGAAAACGAACAGAGTAAATAAAATTAGAGTCCATTTCTTTATTTGCAAGGAAATATGAAGAGCATCAATTGGTAGATTAAGGGGCACAAGACCAAGACCTTTGAATATGTATTATTATTAAGTGTAGGGCAAGCCAGCTAACAGAGCCCTGATAATGGTAATTTTGTTAAGACCGCTGGCTTACATTGGAGATTTCAGGCCACGTTCGGAGTCTACTGTGCACATATATATATTAAACAGATTATTATTTTTTTAATCACATGTCATTTAAGGAAGCAGATAACATACAAGTTATGGAAGGAACGCACAACAGAAAGGACAAAGCAAGACAAAAGAACACGTTTTCACTCTCTGAAGTTGAGAGCTTGTTTTAGGAGAATTACACTAAGAAGTAACACGTTCATTTTATGTCAGTAGAGACCAGTATCGCTTATTTTATCATCAATAAAACAAGCTCACCAATAAACTTAAACTGAAAAGTGATGCATACCAAATCAAAGATTCAGAAAATAAGGCATGCACGCAATATGAATCTATCTCCCTGGCACGAAAATTTGACAGGCTGCATGACAATTCCTTTCAGAAATCTAAATGACTTGCTCTCTAGTTTGTTGAGGTTAAGGGTTATTAATAGGATATCTCTGTCGTGGAGGACGCCTCGTCCTCTTTCCCCATCCTGTTACCTCAGGTCCCAGTTCTCCACAATCAGGTTGCTGAGTTTGCGGTGGACTCACTGCTGTAACTATTGGAGAGGCAGCAGCTGGGGCTGCACGCTTTCTCCCCCTTCCTGCCTTTCTTTTAGGAGAATTTCTCTGTGACAAACCTGACTGCCAAGTGCCACCAGTTGCTGTGATGAGCCCTTCAATCATCTGAAGATCCTCAGTCACATCATTCCTAGACAAACAGACAAGACCAGGAAGCACATCTCTTTGAAAGTCCTTCCGATGCTTTCCTCTCCTGGCCTGACCTCTCCGAGGACGTCTTGGCAATGATGTTTCATCTTTTATGCTTTCCAAAACCATTGGCTCAAAATTATGCTCTTCTACCACAGTTTCAGTTAAATTTAAGGTCATATACTCAAAAAAATCGACCACATCTGATTTTGGATCTTCACAATAAGTAATATTCTCGTGCACTGAAATTGATCCAACATCATTCTCAATGTAACCTTCATACAAAGAAACTATCTCTGTGAACCACTGTAGTGAGTCATGGCATGGAGCATCGTCTTGAAACTTGCACGCACCAGAAGATGAGATAGAAACTAAAGCCTCAGCTGCAGCCATCAAAAAGCCTCCACGAAAGTCCTTGGATTCATCTGTTATTGACTGAAATGGTTCTTTAAATTTACTATCTAGAAATTCACCACAAGATATAATGTCTATTTCATTTTCATGGACAACTGGCGCCTCCAAATCTATCTCAATTGCAATCTCATCCTTGGTTCTTGGAGAACAAATGATCACTTGAGCCTGTTCTTCAGTCAAGCTCACATTCAAATCAATTGGGTGTCTTAAGCTAGCTCTACAATCAACTGAATGCCTTTCCACATTTAAAATCTTTGTGTTTTGGGTCTCCACAGATTCAGATTCCATATGATCCTGATTCAGATCAGTATGAAGTAACCCACCTTTGATAAAGTTAGCATCATTAGTCTCTGAAACACAACAGCTAGACTTCAGGCCAGAGCTGGCAGAAGGCTGATCCTTGGACATGTGATTTCCAAAAATGGGAACACCAAGAATCTTCCTACTGCTTGAACAGTCACCTCCTATTCTTCTGTCTTTGGCATCGTGTGCATTTGTTGCTGATGACGAATCCTGGATAAAGTTTTGATTGAGACCCTTCATTGTTCCAGAATCGCAAGCAAAACGCTCAGCATATTTTCTTTGCAAGGAATCCAAATTCACCTTTTGAGAGTCGGACATTTCAGCAGAAGAATTTCCTTCACAAGGTGAAATAGCTCTCAGCCAAGACAACCCTCCTAGTGGAATTTCTTCCTTCCTTTGATTACCAATGGAAATAAGATTTGAATCAGAAATTGCTTCATTTGGGCAACATTTTGGAAGTACTGCATTGAGGTTTACTTCCACTGCAGGTTTTATATTATCCAGCCAGCCTGAACCCCTTAGGTTATTGGGAGGCCTATGCTGAGGAACTAGTTCAGAAGCCGAATAACTAGCCCTGTGACCATTTGAGTAACCAGCTGATGCATGGTAAACTCGTTTTTCCTTGGACTGCAACTGAGAAACGAAGCAGAGGTCGTTTTTATAGGACAATTCAACTTCAGGACCTGGAACAAAATCCACTTTTTCATTAACAATCGACCAGTCAGTAGAAACTTGATGGCAATGAATCAATGTTGCTGAACTCTTATTTGATTCAGGAAAGGTATTAAAGCAAGGGTTTCCTTGAACATATATTGCATTCCGTCTTGAGCTATCTGGAGGCTTCTTCCAAGATGAAATGGAGGATGACTCAGAATTGACTACATTAGATGGAGGAGCAGGTGGCTGCAGAAGTGTATCTGAAAACATAACAGATGCATCATGGTTTCCATCGGAGATTTCTACACCAAAAATTTTCTTTCTCAATTGTTCTGGTTTATTCAGATCAGGCTCATGGGCTTTTGTGCAGCCAAAATGCAATGATTCACTTTGTGTAGGCAAATATTCTCCATAAAAAGTTCTATTGAGAGTTCGTGTGCTTATATGGCCTGAAAAAAGGATCAAACCATCAGTTGAAACTGAATTAGTACTACACAGCAACAAGCTTATTGCGAGAATTTTCAATTGTACCTCTTATATTCTGAACCACCTAAAGGAAAAGAAAAATTAATGTTGAAGGTTTTAAGCATCAGTCACAAAGAAGAATATGATGTAATCTTAGAAAGTAAATAACTTTAAAATAACATAATGTTAACTCAGTATCTGTGAACAAAATAAGCGCACACACCTTCACATGCAAGCACATTCAAGTGTACAAAATACGCAGTCTTCTTTTCCCTTTCTTATAAGAAGTAAAAGACATTCCTTAAAATGCATACGGAATCAATAACAATGAGAAGTTTCTTATACATTTCTCAGAACTTTCAGGACAGGGACTCAAAGGTTTCTGAAAATTCATGTAAATCTCAGAAGAGCATTGCCTTGGAAGTACTTCGATGCTTTTGGATGTCTAATAACAAAATGGTTATGCCCAGAAAATCAGTAACTCTTTTTCCTTATCAGAGCAATTAGTTCTCTCCAACTTATTCTTTTTAATAATTCATTTCAAACAAAATTCCACAGATAGTTGATTTGCTATATTTAAGAATTTCAAAAGAATTGAGTTGCATTGGATTTAAAGTAAGAAAATCAATTCACCCATTTATCAACAAAAGATGATAAACACGCTACGAAAAAAAGTGAAGCAGTGATTTTGAATAAAAAAACTTAGCTACTCGGCTACTTGTAAAGTAGTGACTGATACAAATTTGCACATCAAAGAAAAAGCAATATCATTGGCTGATATCAACCAAAAAAACACTCTAAAGTGGCTTGCTGAACAAGTCCTTACCAGGGTTGAAGTTAAGAGGTGGCCGGCCTTTGTTTCCCCACTCTTTATCTAAATGCTGATTACATTGGTTGATTCCCTCATCCTTTTCTTTATCTCTTTGAGAAACTTCCTTGGACAAACACTGTAAACCTGGGGATGAATTTGCAGATAAATCCCGCCCCTGTATTTCCTCTTTAGAATAGGTAGCCTTGCCTAGAGTATCAAAAGAAATTGTACCATGTGCTTCCTCAACCTTGGAAGGTTCATTCAAATCTGTAAAACCTCGGCTCCCCCTTAAGTGTATAATGGAACTAAAAGCACCACCATTGCAGCCAGAGTAAACACTACCTGGGGTGCCAGAGTACACACTACCTGGGGTGGACATATTGCAATTTTTCTCACAAGTATCATTACAATTCCAATTTGGAGGGTGAGTTTCCACCCCTGACCCTACAAATGCCCCTTGTGCATCATCTTCATCATTTATGTATTTGTCACCTGGCAGTTCAAGGTCAAATAATCTCCTCTGAAGCTTCTTGTGCTTATATTCATCCTTAAGCCTGGAAACATCGTGTGTTGAACCACATCTGGATTGCATGTTCTGCACATTAATGGAACCAAAATGTGATTGGACACTATCAGCACCTGAAGCAGATGGTATATGACAATTCATAGCCACTAAAGGCAAACTGGGATTGTGACACCTCCTTCGGTCTCCTTCATGTGGAAAGGCAAAAGGATTTGATTGCAATGTTCCCACATGATCAAGGCATATCATTGACTGTTTGCTCCGGACTTCATTCATTATTTCCATTTGTATTTTGTGAAGCCGGTGCAGTTCATGGACCTGCATAATCAAATTTCCATAAACATAAATATAATGTTACGCTCAATCAAATTTCAATTATTTATACAAAATAAGGGCATTTTTACACTATATTTCATGAACTCAGTCAGAAAGTATAAAAATCCAATTTTATAGCTCAACAATATAAAGTGGAGATAAAACATACCTGATGTTTGAATGTGTTTTCATGCCTCAGTATGGTTTGCCTCAAGTGTTCCTTGGCATATCCAGAGAATTTATCTATTTCTGGCTTTGCAGCAAGCATGTCATGGTACTGCCCAAAGGCCTTGTTTTCATGATGTGAAGGCCATTTAACTTCCCCACTACTGCCATCCAGATCCCTTGTAGAATGATAACCCAGTATATGCATCTTATACAGAAATTCAGTTCCCATTTCTGCAAACACCTGAAACAACTTAATAAAAACTCCAAATAAACCTACCAACCCTGATATGAAGGATATCTCTTTTTCTTCTATCACAAATGAAAAAGATTTACTAGCCCACACTATATATTTTTGTTACAGGAAAGAAGCTGCAGGATGAGGATCATGGTCCATGATTCTGACAAATAAAACTCATTGCATATTGTAACATGTGTATTGTATGGTTGCATTGAAAAAAGAATTTGTTGCAGCACATAAATCCTCATTCATCAATCCTGATACATAGAAAGAATCACCACCATGTTATACAAGCTGCATTATCATATTATTTCCTCGTACACGAATGTCATGCTCAGTTTCGCTGGTGAAATTGAATTCCAGTCAACATTGTAGTAAATATTCCATATACGGAAAAGACCCCTTCATCACTCAATCTAGAAACGAACTAGCACATTATAAATAAATCTTGACAAATCTGGTCCATAAATAAAGTCAATGAAAAACAATTTATCCCCATATATAATACATTATGGAGAGAGATTACATTCCATAGTCAAACAAAAAAAAAATGCACTCCTAATATGTTTGCAAGAAGCATGAAGTCAAAAGCTTAGAAGGCCACGGAGATACCTGTCCGTCAAGAGCTTCTCCCTAGTTGCAAGTGTTCCGAGCCAGATATTATGCTGAGTGTCTTTAAGTGAGCCGGTCTATTGTACAGTAGTTGTTAAGAGTCATATCCAATGTACCAATGGGTTTTGCATGCTGAGTGTCTTTAAGTAAGCTAATCTATTGTACAGTAGCTGTAAGAGTCACAGCCAATGTTACAAATGTGTTTTGCATGCTGAGTGTCTTTCTGTGAGCTGATCCATTAGAGCCTGGCATAATTTATGTTACAGTAGGGCGAAATAGGCCAGCCAATGTACTGAAAGAAGTTTAGAAAATAAATTAGAAACAGCACCAAAAGTAAATTCATTTATCCCTGTTTTGGAGAAAATGCATTTTCCAAGCTTTAAAGAAACACTGTGTTGATACAAAAGGCAATACAAGTGTACTTGGTAAGGAAGGGAGACAAGGAAAGTCTCATCTAAACAAAACATGAGAACTGTGATAGTTTCAATTGACATTCGACACCCATTTCGAAGGTAACTGACTGTGATGCTTCATAGCTATACATGACCATATAATGGCTAATAAATGGAACAGAGATCCCTTACCACTACAAAACACGCTAATAAATCTCTTAATACTATTGCAGTTAATGTTATTAACTTCAACGATCAACAAATACTGATGGCACTGGAAACTCTTGTCAATTCTTACTTGAAATTCCAGTACACCAGCATTCCTGCATTATTGATAATCTGAACTCCAGTTTTCTTTAAGATCTTCCAAACAGAAGCCTGTGATTCCAGCTGTAATAATCAAGGAAAGAAAAGCAATCGGTTATATTCATCCACTAACAAATAAGAAAAGAATAAGGGAAGATAATGAGAGACCAACATGACAACAGCCATGCACACATGTTTAAATAACTGGAAGTTGACCGTGATTAGTATATGGATTAAGGTTAAAGCATAAAAGAGAGACCAACAAACAGCCAAATCAATCATACATTAAAACAACAAACAAGAAGATTTACCTTATATATGGCAGCATCCTCCACCACCCCATAACAAAACTTGAGCTCAAATTCAAAGAAAACCCTTGAAACTCAACTACAACTATATCAAAAATTCCCAGTTGAAGCAAAATACAAAAGTAGGTAGGTGCCTTTGCAATGTCATTGAAAAATCTTAAATCACAATCAATAGAAAAAAGAATAATGAATTATTATATATACTAGACAGAAGCTCAAATCTGCTAGGCTAGTTAGATAGAAAGATCCCCACAATCCCAGATAAGAATGAGAGAGAGATCTTCCTTCTCTCTTCTTTTTCTCTCTTTCTCAAAGAAACAATGACTTCGAATTTGTCAACCTTGTGGTCTCACAGTGTTTTTTTATTTCTTATTACTATTTATTTATTTGTATTGATAGGGGGGGGGGCATTTGTTTTAGATCCTCGTGGCTGTAAATCACTTTCTCAAAACACTATTTACGTGTTTTTTTTTAATTTTATTTTTTTAATGTTTTAAGTTAAAAATTACACTTACTGAGCTCATAAATTGAGCTTCTTCTTTTTTTAATTTTAATATTTAATAAATAAAGTTTTATTTTTTTATTTTCTACAAATTTATTTTATTTTCATAACCTAAATTACTAATCTAACAAGTTAGCTTGAATTTATTCAAATTATTTTTTTAATAAATTTTTATTCAATTTTATTTTTTAACATTGAACTAATTATAAAATTAAGTTTTATAATTTTTTTAAAAGAATTTCTATAAAATTGACTTGATCTCAACTTACATCGTGAGTTTATCAAGTTAATTAAAATTAACTTTATTTAATTTTTTGTTATTTTTAATTGATTTTTTAATCATATTTTATAATTTTATTCAATTTAAATTATATTTATTTTTATCTTATAACTCGAGTCACAACAATTCGACTTTTCTCACGACCCAGAACAAATCTACTTCTAGTATCTCTTCTCTTCTCCCAATACCACTAACGAGGTGAAAAGTCTCACCTCAAGTTACAACAAGAAAACCACCCCGTGCTCCCGCTCCATACGAAAGTACATTCTTCTCACATTGTCACATGCCGAAAGATGAAATCAACCCCCATGGTCGAATACAAAGTCTTTTTCAATGCAATAGTTATTTCAACGGAAAGCCATGCGGACGGCAAAGGAATCCATTTACACGTAGGAATATATACCAACAACGCATCTCGCTACAAAGCTACAAAGCAGCTTCGGCGAACCTTTCCCGAGTTTGAGGAAAGTCAGCTCCATTGCCGTTTTCACCATGGGTTTGGAACAATATGCCAGTATATCTCAAAAGAGGATAAGAACCCTGTTGTTTGGGGGACATATCAAAGGGAAGACATTCTCCATATAGCTAGGGCCGCGCCATAAAAAAAAAAGCGAAAAGTTCCTGAAAGCGCGTATTTGAGAAATATGACTCATGATTTTTTTTTAATTTTTTTTATATGATATTTATCTAGGTCTTATATATTTAGTTTTTTTAATTGATTTTAATTACAAGAAATATAACTCATGATTTTTTTTCAATTTATTTTATATGGTATTTATCTAGGTCTTATGTATTTAGTTTTTTTAATTGATTTTAATTACATTAAATTTGTTGAAAATTAAATTTTATATGTTTTTATAATGTTATTTTATTCTTATAATTTAAGTTATAGGTTTAATATGTTAAGCCACATGGACTTTAAATTGTTTTTTTTTATTGCTCCATCTTGGAAATTAAGCATGGTTTCATAACTGGAAGTTCAAATTCATAATATATTTTCAAACAAAATAAATTTTAAAAAACAATTACTTTCGAACACCTCCTCCTACTAGACGCTACATGAAGAGAGAGTTGATCACTCTTTGGCTCATCAAGCATTCCTCATGGCTGCCTAGCGACTATGGTGCTTGTGGTTGAACTTCTACATTCAATGGTCTTTTGCATGTTGAATAGTATAAAAAAGACAGCATCAAATCTTCACCCTCTGCCTGTCTAGGTGGGTGTTCAATTTTACATATTTCAGAGGAGAGTTTCAAGGGAACGTTCTCTCTCTCAAGTTCTACCTCATATATATGATATTGATAAATTAGATAAATTACATCTATGATATTGATCAAGAATACATTCTTAGATAAAAATAGTGTGAATTCATAGTAACATGCAATGGAGATCAACAGCCAAACATAAATAGGTCAACAGTTGAGCTCCTTTGGATTTCTTCTTAGCTAATAATGCTTGTACATGAATAAATTGTTTAGGGTTTTTACTTTACTGTTTGGTTATTTATTCCTTGATGGATAATACCCTTAATTAATGGTCAAACCATAGTGCATTTGCTGCCAATTAAACAAAAAATCAGTGGATCATGTTCTTCCAATTAATGGTTTCCTTTGTCTCAAAGTGCATGGAAAGCTTAGATGCCCCACTCAATGTTTCGATCAAACCATCCTTTTGTGCTTATCCTCATTTATTTATTCATTGTTTTATAAGTTTTTTTTTGGCTCAAAAAAAGTTAAATTGTTTTGTTTTTACTTTAGGCTTAATCTATTTATCTATTTATTACTTTATATTTAATTTATTTATTACTTTACACTTCATATATTTATAACTATTCTTTTTGTTTTTATCATTATTCATTTATTATTTTATATTTTTTAAAATAAATTCTTTTTCTTTTTCTTTTTCTTTTTTACTTCTATCTTTACCTATTTATCCCTTTACATGTGATTTATTTATCAACATTTTTTTTTCTTGCAATGTAACTTTTCGCAACTCTTTTTTTATTTTTATTTTTTATATCATTTTTTTTTATCTTTATTCTTCAATACGTTAACACTGACTTTTTTCAATCCTTTTTTATATATAATGTTTTTCCTTGACAAGTGGCTTATTTGCCACCATATCTTCATTCATTCATTTATTTATTTATTTATTTATTTATAATAAACAATGTAATAAATATTATTCAAATCTATGAAAGCCTCACATTAATTTTCCACCTAACAATTAAATTGGATGAGCTACAATTGTGATTTTTATATTTGAGAAATGGAGTCAAGCTACCGTTCTTAAAACTCAGGTTTTGGTTGGTCATCCATCAATCTCCAATAAAATATTTGACATTTGTGGAACAGAAGGAGCATCTTGGAATGAAAATGAAATAAAATAAAATAAAATAATCCTATTGTGATTTTGGTGGTCCCATTTACAAGCTTATATGCCCAATTCAGACAAGTTCTCTCAGCAGACATTTTTTAGGCCCATAAGCCAGAGAACCTCCTCCCGAAGCCCAAGAGCCCCTACCTTGTTAAGACCGATCACACTTGGGCTACAAGCTGCTACAGCCCAATAACCAGCTCGTATTTCCTCTCCCAACTGCCCTTTCTCCCACCCGCAATATCCATCAAAGAACCTGAAATCGCCGAGCCCAACTACATTCCTCCTCGCCATTTCAGCTGCGCTACCAGCACTCTCTCTAGTCCCATAGTACACTCCTCTCATCACTTCTTCAAAAATCCCACTCTTGGCCACCCTATCGTTATCATAACCCCTCTCTGGACTGACTAGAAACAACCCTTCCTCTAATGGCCCGCCAAAGAACAATGGTCTGTTGGAGAACACCCCGGCGACATCAAGCGCCGTTGATCTCATTTCCTTGATCGACATGAGGGATGGTCGGTTGAGTATGATGCCATACGGGCTCGCTGGCCCAGTTGACAAGAGAAGGATGACCGTCCGTTCGAAAATGTGGACCCCGTCAAGCTTTTCTGTGGCAATCAGTAGGCAACCTTTCTCAGGCTCATGGATGGTATGAGCCCATTTGTCCCCAATTGTGATTTGTGGTGGCTGCTGATCCACAACAATATCAGGGCCTACTGTTGAGGAAGGTTCAATGGGCCTCAGGGCTTGTTCATTGGCAACCAACCTTGCTCTGAACGATCTCCAGTCAGCTTCAAGTAAAGGCCGACAGTCATCAGCAGATGGTGATGGTGGCGGCATGTGGCAACCTGGCATCAACATACGAAGTTAATAAGTTATTGATTAAGCTACACATGATCATAACTTATAACAAAGATATCTTAAAAGAATCGAGGGATCCATGAATTCCCAACAAAATTAGATCAAGATGAAGTGAATCAAGGTAATGGAAAAGAAAGGAAGAAAACTGTCAACAAAGATATGCAAGCAGAGGTGCACTTACATGTTATGGAAGTGGTGAGAGCAACTCTTTTGCTCTGAAATGCATTAGAACTTCTCTTGGGATACGAGAAAACTCTAGCTTTGATTGAAGGGATAAGTTCCACGGTCTTGGTGAAGGAGTTTGAGGTGAGAAAGCAGGCTTCCATGCTTTCTTTCTTTCTGCTTCTTCTTCTTCTTCTTAATTCTTTCTTGGTGTACCAAATGAATATGATATTGGAAGTGGATAATAGAGAATGATCCAAATGTGAGGTTTAATCTGAACCACAAGGTGTTCCGATCAGTCCCATCCAATTCCAACCAAGTTGAGTCTCTGGTGTTTCTTTCTAGCTAGGCAGGGGCCAATGGATACGACTCTTTACACATGGCATAAACAGCGCAACTGACGTGAAAGCTACACCTGGACGATCATTTGGGTTAGTGGGACTTTTTGTAGGTTTTCCAGTACTGATGTGTCATGTTTCCAGCCAGTTATCTGCTGAGGAGTGAACTTGAAGCACCTCTTGTGGTTGAAAATGGTTTCCCTGGGTTTTTGTGTAGGCAAATATTCTCCATAAAAATGTTAAGCCCAGCTTAACAAGATTGAGAAAGAAGAGAGAACAGAATTTGAGAAAGAACCGAAAGAAGAGAGGACAGAGAATTGAGAATAATCTTCTGTATTTTCTTATTGCCATACAAGGAATACAATTGTTCTTTATATACGGCTACAACGATCAACAAACTCCAACTAATTAACTGGCATGACCCGGGCTCACGTGTTCCCTACTTCATGTTCAAGCCTTCATGTTGCAGTCTGCTAACATATCTTCTTGCTGCTAATGCTCTCTTTTATTCCTTCTTGATTCTGCCAAGTGCTTAGAGGTGTAACAATCTTCTACTTGTTTGGCCTGAAAAAAGGATCACACTATCAGTTGAAACTTAAAAATGTTGGGAACGTGTATGCAAACACACCACATGCAAGCGCATTCAATTGTACATAACATGCTGTCAAAACTTTGCACATCCAATAAAAAGGAGCATCAATGGCTGATATCAACAGAAAAACCACCCTAAAAAGTGTTGCTAAATAAGTAAGCATTAAGGTTAAAAAGGTTGTCTGCCTACACCCTAAAAAGTGTTGCTAAATAAGTCCTTGCAAGCATTAAGGTTAAAAAGGTTGTCTGCCTTTCTCCATTCATTATCTAAATTCAGATTACATTGGCTGATTCCCTCATCCTGCTCTTTACAGGGTTCTTTGAGAAACTACCTTTTCCAAACATTCGAAGCCTGAGCATTGCAGATGATTCCCGCCCTTGTATATCTTCTTTAGAGAAGGTAAACTTGCCACCATATTCTTCCTCAACCTGGAAAGGTTCATTCAAATCTGTAAAACCTCGGGTCCTCCTTAATGGAACTAAAAGCATCTTATACAGAAATTCAGTTCCCATTCCTGCAAACACAGCAAACAACTTAATAAAGCTCTAAATGAATCTGTCATTGAAAAATCTTAAATCATCAACCATGTGAAAACAATAATTATAATAATTATATGTACTAGAGAGAAGCTCAAATCCATCTGATGGGGCCAGAATCCGATATGTGAATGAGATAGAAAGTTCCCCACAATCCCAGATAAGAATGAGTTGCATTATCTAATTTAGTTTTTTTTTCCCTTCTATAAATCAGTTCAGTACCTAATCTTGCACCAAAAATCAGCAGCAACAGATGCATTATATGCTTTACAAACCCTTAATTTGGTCATGAATCCAAAGAAACAAACATGATTAAAAAAATGCCTACCTAGTTTTATAGCTTGCATTTGTAATCTCTTGAGTCCTAAAAGTGCTCCTATTGCCATCATTATTTTCCACATGTGACGAGGCATAAGGGTTCACGAGTAGCATGCCAACCTGTACAATTCAAGCGATTTCGTGGCTAAGTTAACTTTGGCGTGTTAAATCCTTCATAAACATGTGAACACTGTACATCAATCCTTCATAAGCATCAGGCTTGTTTCAGTTAACCTAATTTTTGGCCTGAGATATGAAATCAAATTTAAATTCAAGGTTGATTTTTTAACCATTTAAACCTCATCCCAAAAATAGGCGATCCTGTATATCCTAATTTACCCATGTAAAAGACTCCATTTACAAATTAAGCTGGTGTTTAAGATGTGTGTAGTTTTGTGTTTAATTCTAAAACTCATCAATCTTATATGATGTGCAGTGTGAATAATGTTCAGATTCAAAATTCAGTAGAAAGTTTTTGGATGTTAGTTTGGGATTGTCAATACCAAAATAACAACACAGAATTTGAACTGAAGCAACAATGCAATAACTATTTAGATGTTACAGTTTTGATAGAGCTTGGATGTAAAAGGAAAAGAACACCAGGCTAGCAAACTAATTCTTTATGGCAACGCACAAAATACAGGAAAAACTTATCAGGAAGAAAAACACGATATATCTATCCCAAAAAACTGCATCAGAAAGCCAAGCAATCAGCCAATCATATTTCACTCTCTGAAATGCTATATAGGTAGGACCAAAACAGCATGCACTTCAAGAAGCATTCAACCAATCAGAGTCTCAATTTGTAAATCTATTTTTAAATTTTACCAGTTAATTAACATTTCAAGAATACCCTAAATGGAAAAAGATAGCATCACAAAAACATAGCAACACTTGCATAATCTAACCATAATCTTCACTGTCACAAAGGCTTATATGTACTATAAATAAAAACAAGTCATTTGACTCAGATAGAAAATGTAATAGCCTTCATAGGATAAGGTCATTTGAATAAACACGTTAACACTATCCCATAAAAGTTCCAAGAATATTTTTCAGATAAAATTGCAAGCTTACCAGGAACTACTGTTTATTATTTTTCTCATCATTATCTTCATTTTGAACTGCAATCGCTACTTTCTTCAACTCTTCCTGGTAGAGTTCGATGGAGGCTCGACATTGCCTGCTACCAAGCTCTGGTCATGCAGGCTTCAGCAATGCTCATCTTTAAACATCTGTCAGAGTTTCCAAAAAGCTCCTACATTCTAGGCAAGTTCACAGCCTGTTTGAGGCAGGACCTGCTTTTCCTGCTTTATAGCCAGAGTAACCTGACACCAGGATGAGAATTCGGGATGGTGTTCACCTTCCTTGATGTTATCATACTGCTGAATTTGTTAGGGAATAAATCATAAGGATTATTTTCTTAGTATGGCATGAGAAGTTGTATGGGTTTATTGTCAATGCAGACTGCAAATGCTCAACTGATTTTCCTACATTTCTAATTTTGGTGTTTCTATCTTTAATTCCTTTTCTTTGTGATCTTCTCTCTTTCAAAGATTTCTAAATCTAACTGTACTAGTTAAGTTTTTATGCCAGAACAAAAACAACATTACATCCAAAGTTGATAGGTTTTGTTTAAGCTTGGTTGTGGTTTTATTTAAGCAGGATTTTGGGGCGGGTAATCTTGCATAGTTTTTCCCTCAGTACATTTTTTGTAACAATGAACACTCTTGCTACCAGGTCCCCGTGCTTACACATGGGCTATTCAAGACATCACTATTGTCCTAGCCAAGATGAGTATCAGCATAACAGCAAAGGTCAGTATCTTGCATCAAAGATGATAGACATTCATATAGAAATGTGGTTAACAGATCACAGTAATAGTTTGAACAAGTCTTGCATATGTACCAAGATTAGAAAACATTGGTACAGTTTAGCAAAGAATCCATCTGAACATAAAGCCCATCCACTTCTGCAGGTACATGATGGAACTAGCTGACTCCCTTTAGGATCTGATAAAATCTCTGAATCACGACAAGTTTTCAATGATTCACAGTATAATTTTCCGAAATACAAGTAAATTGACAGACCTCATTGGTGAAGCATAGCTTCCACGGATGCATTGGAAACACAATTCTGATCACCTGCAGAGACAAAAATATATCGCAAAGTGATCATCCAGATCTGATGTTTCCAACGTTATCATGGAATCTAGTATCTCCTCTACAACTTGTACAGGCCACAGCATTACGCATTTTGTGCATCCCCAAAACAGTGTTTCCTACGCTTCAAATGAGGAAATGATGCAGTTGTTTAGCAATGCTTCTTCCAGTTGAGCTAAAGACAACGGAAATGATGCAGTTGTTTAGCAATGCTTCTTCCAGTTGAGCTAAAGACAACCAACCCCTACAGCTATACCTTCGGGACAACGTGAACTCGCTTCAGGTCCAGACCCAATCTGTTAATCATTTGATAAATTTTATCTGACTTAGGGTGTGATTTATCGAATACTGTAAATTCATGGACCTCATCATCCACTTCAATGGAACTAGCCCCTGATGGTTTCTGTATTCCAAAGTTTTTCATTTGCAGCCTTACATTGGCAACACTGCTCCAGTCTCCCGCAGATGCAAAAATATTTGACAACAGAGAGTAATTACCAGGATCTGATGGTTCCAGCTTAAACAAGCAATCTAGTACCTCCTCTGCAAGTCCCACAGCATTATGCATTCTACAGGCCCCCAAAAGGGTACCCCAAATAACAACATTTGGTTCTATTGGCATGCTTTGCACAAGCCTAAAAGCTTCTTTAAGATGACCTCCACGACCCAAAAGGTCCACCATGCAACCATAATGCTCAATGTGGGGAACAATGCCATAATCCCTCTCCATATTATGAAAGTATCGAATTCCCTCATCAACAAAGCCTGCATGAACACAAGCACACAAAACAGCAACCAATGTAACTTTATCGGGCCTGAACCCTTCTTGCCTCATTCTAGAAAAGAGCTGTAGCGCTTTCTCACCGTGGCCATGCATGGCTAGCCCTTGGAGCATGCAATTCCATGAGACCAAATCTTTTTTTGACATCCCATTGAACACACTTAGCGCCCTGTCCACCTGACCACACTTTGCATACATGTCAACCAATGCATTAGACACATTAACACTGCACTTGTACCTAATCCTCTCAATAGAAGTACGAACTCTCTTCCCTAAACCAAGGAGACCAGACTCTGCACAAGAAGCTAGTATGCTAATAACTGTGCCATCATCAGGCTTCAAACCGGCCTCCTCCATTTGCTCAAACGATCTTATGGCGTCCTTTGCTAGCCCCTTTACAGCGTAGCCCGATACAATTATAGTCCAAGAAACCAAATTCTTGACCGGCATTCTATCAAACAACATTCTAGCCATTTCCATATCACCTGCTTTACAATAACCAGAAACCATGGTCGACCACGACACCACATTCCTCTCTGGCATGCTCTCAAACAATCCAAACGCTTTATTCATCTCTCCTGCCTTCACATACCCATCCAGTATTGTATTCCAACTAACAGCATCTTTCATGGGCATTTCATCAAACAGTTTGCAAGCTTCACTCAACTCCCCTACTTTCAATAACCCTCTAATCATAGAATTCCAAGAAACCACATCTCTTTCATTCATCACCGTAAACAACCTCATTGCAGACTTCACACCCAACAAACCACACTTACAGTAACTATCAATAAGTGAATTGGGCACAAACAAATCCTGAAAAAACCCATATTTCTCCAAATGGTTATGTATCATTTTCACAAGAGGCAACCAAGACTGTCCATTACAAGCCTTTAAAAGAAAAGGGTACGTAAAATTATCAGCAAAAAGCCCATTCCTTTGCATTTCAAAGAAAGTTTCAAAAGCCAGTAAAGAATGGGAATTTTGCACGCAGGCTCTTATAAAAGTATTATACAAGTGGACATTAGGGTCAGGGATTTGTTTGAAAACATTAATAGCTAAAGTCATTTCTTGAGAAAGAGAGAAAGCTGAAATTAACTTGGGCGCTACATAAAGGTCTTGGTGGAGATTTTGTTTGAGGATTTGGGCATGAACTTGTTTTATGTGGTTTAAGTTTGTACATTTGTGAAGGTCTTGTAAGTTCTGTTGAAAGATCCTTCTTGTTGAGACCCATGATGGGGCTCTTATTGGTACTGAAATTTGCATTTGTTTAGACATAGAAGATGGCTTGCATTTTTGTAAGACAAATTCTGCAGGTGCATGAATTCAAGGATGGCAAAAAGGAGAAGTTGAGGAGACTATGGAGGGGGTTTGGTTGAGGCTCTAAGGATTTTCCACTTGGGTCCTAACATCATGTAATCTGTCTGTTACTCGTTTATTATAAAGCCCTTGGGCTACCACATGTTAAAGCAAGCAAGCCACCCACTTGAACAAAGAAAAAGAAAAACTTCTATGAACACAATTTTTTAACTTTTTGTTGAAAAAGAAAAACTTAAAAGAGAAAAGGAAAACTTGAAAATTATTTTTATTGCTGAACATACCCTTAAGCTTCTTCACGTTTTCAAAGAGAAAAATATTCTTGGCTTAAAAACAATGAATGATAGAGTGTATGATGAAAAAGTAAATGAATTCATATTATTAGATTATTTATTATAGTGATGATGTTTATATATATATATATAAGGAATTATCTTTTTAATTGGGTTTTTTATTTAGATAAATACTTGATACTCGTCTCAAGAAGTGGGGATTCAATTTGAAAAAAAATCAAAAATTAAAATTAAAATACATTATTTTATAGTTATGTTTATTTCAATAAATTGACTTGTGATTCACAAAATCTGTAATTTAGACCGGCCTAAGTTTAAAAAGAATTGGAACAAAGCATGAAAAATATTTAATGTTTATATTTAATCCAAAGTAAAAATCCTCATTTAAAAAACTAAATTGAACAAAGCCTAAAAATAAGTCACATATTAATGTTTACAATATATTGTATTTGATTATAACAATTAAATGAAAAATAGATTTTGATATGCTTAGATAAAATTAAATTTAAATAGATTTTATATGAATATCATATCAATAAACATATGTAATTGAGTGAAGAAATCAATTAACAAGTCCAAGATACAAAGCAAGTGAAGATTTAGTTATTAATAATTCATTTCTCAAAAGAAATATCTTTTAGTTTTATAAAGAAGGGCTTAGACATTGTTATAACATATTTTTTGCCCCCCTTAAATTTTCCTTTTTCCTTTTAAATAATAATAATAATAACTAGTAACTTGGAAAAAGTAAGATAAAAAAGGTTTCAAATATATAAAAGAATAAAGTTGGAGTTTTGGATAAAATGAAGAGCCTAATCATATTTTATTATATTCATGACTGAAGAGACAATGCATATTCACTATCAAATTAAATAATTATTGAATAAATCTGCATATAAAAATTGTACAAGGACTTAGTTAGATTTTTAATATGCCAATTGAATTAATTATGGGCTAAATTAAAAGTTTAATTATGTTTAAGGATTAATTTTAGTTAAATTAAAAGATTCAATTAGGTGCAACAATTTAATTATACTTTTAATTGGTGAAATTAATTTTTCTAGGGATTTAATTAGTGAAAAATTAAGTTTGAAAGCCTAATTTGGACTTAATCGAGAAGATTGAAATTTTAGAGGACCAAACTTAATTCTTACAAAGTCAATTGATTGAAATTAGAGATAAAATTGCAAGAAAATTAAAATTTAGAAAGTCAAATTAAATAAATTTATAACCAATGATCTTTTGAAAAAGGTGCTTGATTAATACCTAAAATTGTATTTTTATCAAGGTTTTATATTAGCATTTTGCATTTGAAGTATCAATAACTCTTTAACTAAAACATGTTTTATAATAACAAGTTTGATACTATAAGATACTTTTAATTTATGGTAAATGTTCATCTTAAATGTAGTCATATTAAATAAATCAAATGATTGATTGATGAGTTCAACTACTGAAATTGTGAAGATAAAAAGAGGGTGAAGATTAGAAAATAAATGTTGGTTTAGTCCAAACTGAAATACTATTTTGACATTGGATCATATCTGAAGCTGTAGAACTTGGATTTGGGTCTGCTCTATATAGATGGAAAGCTAAGATATAGACCTAAAACATTCATATGGAATATAAAATTCAATTATACTATTTGGAAGTCCAAATCTTAGCAACAACGGAGAAGTCCGAATCTATTATACAACCTAGACACTATACAGCCTAGACACTGTTCAATATTCAACCTATATCTTGAGTTCTAGAAGTTCAAATGACCTTAATTTTTTTGTTTTTTAAAAATTAAAGACAATTTCCTAGAACTTTCATGATTTAAGTATGTTTGAATTTCGACATTAGCAATGACGTTTTGTTCAAACACGAAGATAAAGATTGTCACCAAATCAAGATTTGATCACCTATTTAACAATTAATCAATAAATCAATAGTTCTTAATTTTGACCTATAAAATAAGGCATTTGTCATGCATTTAGGTACCTTGGTTTTTAGATCAAGATCATGTTGTTTATTTCTTTCTTTATATTTTTTGTAATGTTTAAGTTTTATTTCATGTTATATTTTTCTTAATCTTTTATTTATGCTTTTCATTTTCTTTACTATATTTATGTTCTTATATTGTTTATTTATATTTCTCTTTTTTATTATGTTTAGCTAAGTTTATTATATTAATGTAAAAATATTACATTAATGGTGTAAGAATAAATATAGTGTAAGCTTAATATGGACTTTAATGTTTGATACTAACATGTTCTGCATTTGTTATCTTATTTACTTTTAATACTTTTCTTGATAAATGGTTAATCTAAATTTATGTTATATAATACTTAGTACAACAAAACGTGACACTTTCATAGTCTAACCGCTTGGTATATGACCTACACCTATACTATGAAAGAAACTTGATTTGTTGTTAACATAAGTTATAATCATGAATATCTGACAACATTTACAAGCATTAGCATTATTCAAATAAGATAACTAATGAATTATATTAACAATTTTTAATCCGATTGGAACCTCTTTTGTCCATGGTTTCCAGTTGAGTAATAAAAAGAGTTTTATATTATACTTATTTGAAATACCATTAGTGGATCCTCTAATTTAGATATTTGTTTTTATCATTGTTTAATCCTCATATTAATCTTACATTCTAAAAGTCCTCTTTAACTTTTTGTTATTGTTATTGTTATTGTTATTGTTGTTTATAATTTGTATAATTAACCTCCTAGTGGTTCGATCTCTGTCTTACTAGATTATTTATTACTTTGACACTCCTACATTTAGGAGAAGATATTAATTTTTCAGTCGTGTCAAGGTTTTTGGCGTCGTTGCTGGGGAGGTAAATTATTGTATGAATTATAATATTTATTTTATTTTATTTTATTCATTTTTTTATCTGAATTTTCTTTTTTTTTTCTTTTTTTCCCTTTATTCTCTTTCTACATGAATAGTACTTAAAAATATATTTTTATGAAGGTTTTATATCATCATTTTGCACTTAAAGTATCAATAACTCCTTAACTAAAGCATGTTTTGTAATAACATATCTAATAATGTAAGATACCTTTAATTTATAGTAAATGTTCATTTTAAATGCAGGCCTATCACATAAATGAAATGATTAATTGATGAGTTTAAGAACCGAAATTGAAAGGACAAAGAGATGGCCAAACTTAGAAACGAGATGTATGGTGGCGCAGTCCAAACCGGAACACTGTTTGTAATTGGGTCATATCTGAAGCTATTAATCTCAAATATAGGTCTACTTTATATAAATAGAAAGGTAAGACATGGGCTTACAATTTTTATAAGGAGCCCAAGATTTAAAAATGTCATTTTCAAGTCCAAATTGTAGCAACAACAAAAAAGTCTGTTCTCCAACCCGAACACTATTTAGTGTTTGACTCATATCTGGAGTTCTAGAAGTCCAA